ACTTGAGAAGGTAGGTGATGCGGACGTCGTGGAAGACATTTTGTCCCGTAACGCTCGCCGTACTGTTGGGGGGGGAGAAGCGGTGGGGGGGAGATTTTCATGTTGCTGCGGTCTGCAGTCTGAACGTTAGATGTCGCTGAAAATTACACACTGTAGCTTTAAGGAACCTTTTGCTATCTAATTATTACCTGACTAATTTAAAAAAGAACAGACAGATTCATCAATTTGCTAAATAATGGTTATGTGCAGCCCTACATTAAACTCTGCCTGCATTCAGCACAGAGACTCACTTTGTTTCCCCATTAAAAACGAGTCCTCTATATATAAAAATCCCAACTTTATTACAAAGCAAAATGTAAATATAATTTATAAAGTCATTTTTTTTATGTTTTTTGGATGCACTCTAATAAATCCATGTATTTTATACCCTGAAAACTTTCCTTTAAGTTAAAATTGATATTATAAAGATTTCAAGGAATTAATGAACACCTGAAATTATTCAATTATGTCATGTAGTTATATTTATAGTGCTTTTAATAACCTGAATTAAAGAATTAGGTGACATTGTTAGATGACCTTTGGGACAGCCAATAGAGGCTTTTATTGATGGTTAAACACACAAGGAAAGGATTATTTTTAAATGTGTACATAACTTCTGTTAGTTTTGATTAATTACTGCAGCGTAAATTAGGCTGTGATATTTAGGGGAGAATTTTTACACATTTTAGATAATATTTCTTTGTTTTGAAGTATTATCGGTTTAAACTTGTGCTCAACTAAATGTTTTTCACAAACAAAATTATTTAAAATGTTAGAACTTCCAGAAAAAAAATTAGAAATAAATACTTCATTTGAAATTTGGCTTTAAAATATAGGACTGTTATTTAAAAAAAAAAAAAGTAAATATATTATATCAGAAATTGTTCTTATAAGAGTGATTTTAATAGCTGAGTAGAACCGCTACTAACAAGTTTTTAACCGTACTGTTAGCTTAAGTTCAGAATTTGGGTAACCGTTAAAAAGCACTAAACTCGTACTGGAGTTTAAAACCATCAGCATTATTTTAGTAAAACTTTGTTAGTCATCCAGGTCGTGGTCAGCCTTGAAAAGTTCAGTTTCTTAAACTGAACTTTTCCAGCATTAGTCACCATGGTACACATGACCACATCTCTTATCACCAGAAATAAAAATTTAAAATGAGTCAACTAAAAGTCCCAGTAGAAGTAGTAATAATGACAATTAAAATAATGATTGAACGCCATTAGGCTAATTTATGTTGATCTTAAATTTAAATTAGTTGAGAATGTTTTAATCTTGAATTTAAATGTAGGTTGGCTAATCTGAGGGAAAAAAATTGTCAGTTAAGTCAGATAATCAGGGTTATGTTGATTACAGGCCAAATACTTAGTGAGTTATTTTTTTAAATGCAGAAATGCAGCAGTGCAGTATGTCAGGGTTACATGATGTAGGTCAGATGGCAGAAATTAAGTTGCTTCTAAGGTTGTTTATGAAATTCTGTTGTTGAATATTAGCAGAATATGTAATTAAAACTGCCTACAGAGGCTGTCCTTATTTGGCTGCTGGATTTGTAACCTTCTTTTCCTTCACAGATTGAGCTTGAAGAACAGAAAGCGATGAGGACGAGTCGCGGACGGCCCAAGGAAAAAAGGAAGCGAAAGGGTCACAGCGGCAGCAGTGCAGACGGAGCAGATCATCCCCTGGACGTCTCCCAGTCCAAGAAAAACTGTCCTCCTCACTTTAATGTTGAAATCCATCCAGAGGTGAGACTTTTTTTTTCCCCTTTCTGTTCAGAAATGCTTGCAGATTCGTTCTGGTCAAACCAAAGTGTAATCATGTTTCTGTTTGTACAGATTTTGTGATGCGGCCTACCTGGGAGCTGCATTCAAACACATCTGTTCAATGTGAGCAGCAGGACTTTCCGTGCCAGAAACAGTGTCAAGTTCTAGAAAGATGCGGGACATCCATCCTCCTCACCTGCTTCATCCCTCACCATGTGATCAGACACTAACAGACTAAAGACTCTTCTTCTACACTCCACCCATATGCATCGAAAAACCCAGCAGTATCCAACTCATCATTATTTTGTAACATACTTTCTTCCCTGAACATTTCTTTCCAGAGACTGTTGAACCCATGTGAGAGTTGCCGTTAAAGCAGCTTTTATGGTTTGGAGCTGTTAGAGATCAGCCAGTTTACGCTGTACTCCCCATGTTGTTAAAAGCTAGTTCAGTCTCAGGACCAACAGCATCAGTTTCACTTCATTTGAGCTCTCACACTGACATCGGTTAAGCTGTGGGTGATTTGAACTTATTAACGCCTGAATCCTGACGCTGACGTTACAGTGTAGGATTTAAAACTGCTGACCTGAGACAAGTGGCACAGTTACACATTTACATATGCATCTTTTTTTGTTATTGTTGTATTTAATCTTGTGTTTGAAGCTGTTTCTAGGAGACGTGCTTTTTTCAAAACCCCGAGTCAATTTTGGAAGGTGTTTAAAAACAGGCATTAATGTTTTTGGTGCTACTTTTCCAAAATAAATATACGTACCTTTTGGCTTTATCTTTTTATCCTTACCTTCTGCTCAGTGCTTTGTTTTAAGATTCCATCCTTTATGACTCCATTACATATTCTGCTTACTCTGATCCACCCTGTCATTATTTTCACTTTCCAGAATAAGGTTACTTCGACAAATTTCACTTTGTCTCTATTTGTTTTCTTTAAGAGCTCAAATGACTATATTATTATTATTATTGTTGATATTGCGGACACAAAGTTTCGTGAGTTTGTGTATAAACTTTTCATTTTACTGTTGCCTTTGTTTCTTTTCACTCTTGTTAGGAAGAAAAAAAATAAAGGTTTAGAATTGTTTAGGACTTCTGGGCTTGTTATTTCTAACCTCAAACTGTTTCACCGGTGAAATAGTCGAAATCAAAGAACGGCCACAGTCGTCATGGTCACAGAATTTATTTATAAAAGCTTTAAAATTGCAGACACGTCACAACATATAACAATTACACCATTTTTTCTCTATGCTAGGGTTTTTAGCAAAGTCATAGAAAGACACACAGTTGGAGAAAAAGCTTTCAATATTGAAGCGTATGTAGGGGGGGGAGGGGAATCCTCTCGTATCAAACATGCATGGGTCTAATGGAAAAGCAGCATTTCTCTAGGAAGGATGGTGAAACCATTCCACATAGTAGGAACGAGTTTCAGAAAACAGCAGATGCAGCAGCAGGTATTGTTAGAAATAACTAAGGAATCCATTGAATGCCTCTGGTCAGTCATTAACAAAACTCATTCCTGGTCTGTGGGAGAAGAGAACAAAATTTCTCAGTGGGCGGAAACTTACTATGTCCTGCTTAAGCATTCATAACACTTATATACATCAGTGGGTTTTATTGGCATTTATTATTTTCTCCAAAGTTTATGAAGAATCTTTAAAATGTGTTTGTGTTCAACCACCTTTATCCTTAAATCCATCTTAAAGGGATAGTTCGGGATTTTTGACATGAATCTGTATGGCATCCCCATCACCAGTGTCATGCAATCACACTGACTTACCCCTGGCAGCGTCCTGTGAGCAGAGTTCTCGTCCAGCTTTGGTCAAGCCGAAAGTAGTCCGGCAGTTTTGCTAGACCCAGCGAAATAAAACGTTTCTCTTCCCAAAACATTGTGTTCAAAAGAGTGATATTTTTGCATCCCAAAAACATTGTAGTGGAAAAAGTCACACGTCGTTATCACTTGGTCCTATTTTCTCTCTGTTCGTATCAGTGCGCGCGACACCATGACCTGACAGCTAGGGCCTACTAACCTGACAACAGCCAGATGCATGCCTCGCTCCGCCTAGCTCCTAGCTGGGCGGAGCGAGGCATGCATCTGGCTGTTGTCAGGTTAAGGGCCTACCTGTTTGATTCGCGATTGTTTACTACTGGGGAAGATGTCTGACTACGAGAGCGACGAGGAAAACATCGACTTCCACTTAGAGCCAAAGGGATATCTTTATGAACCCGAGTACACTGACGATGAACTTCGACAAATGGAGTTAGATCGGGCAGAAAGAGAGAGGGTGGACAGAGAAGTGATGGAAGCTGAAGCCGGAGCCGCAGGAGCCTCAGCTGGAGCTGCGATATCCAGGGTGGCCGACAAATCATGGTGCACTTGTTTCAAGTGCGAATGAATGCAGACAGAGGTGGATGCTACTGTTGCCACGAGTGGGATTTAGTAATGCCCGAGATACAGAACCTTTCCATTGATGAGGATGTCGGAGTTGCAGCAGCTGCTGTCTGCATCACAAACAACAGCGACTTCCCTGCCCTCCTCAAAGTTGAGCTCGCTGTCAGAATGACGGCGCGCACTGATACGAACAGAGAGAAAATAGGACCAAGTGATAACGACGTGTGACTTTTTCCACTACAATGTTTTTGGGATGCAAAAATATCACTCTTTTGAACACATAATGTTTTGGGAAGAGAAACGTTTTATTTCGCTGGGTCTAGCAAACCTGCCGGACTACTTTCGGCTTGACCAAAGCTGGACGAGAACTCTGCTCACAGGACGCTGCCAGGGGTAAGTCAGTGTGATTGCATGACACTGGTGATGGGGATGCCATACAGATTCATGTCAAAAATCCCGAACTATCCCTTTAAGAAGTTCCCTAATAAATAAATGACGTCTATCCGATTTAAACTTGGTGTAAATCCAGCTGTTCTGTAAAGGCCTCAAAGGTTTCTTAGATGATAATGGTAGAAAAATGGCGTCAGGACCAAGAAATAAAGCGGAAAGGTCATAAAGTTGAGGAGTTTAAAGCACTTTTGTAAATGAAAACGGTGTTTAAAGCCACAATTTAATAATCCACACGGCCCAGCTGCAAACCTACCACAACATGGTCGTCCATCTAAACTGAGATCCACATTTTTTTTTTTTTTTTTTGCTGTTATTGGGGAAAAAAAAAAACCTGTTAGCTTATTGAAGGTGTAACATCTTCAGCAAATGTGGTCAGATGAGAGCAAAATATAACTTATTTTGATAAAAATGAAAATAGTTGCACATTAATAATAATTGAACATAATTGTTCACTTCTGCCTCTTAACCGGTCCTCTTAAGGGGAAAGGGGGCTGCCACTGTGCAGTTGGGGGTTAAGGGTCTTGCTCAGGGACCCAGAGTGCAGGCTGTGGGGTTCAAACCGGGTACCTGCAATCTCAGAGCACCAGCGGCGCACTGCTCTAACCATTAGGCACACATTAGTATGATTGCACATGGTGGTGGCAGCATCATGCTGTGGAGATGGGTGTTATACACTACCTGGCCAAAAAAAGAAGTCACCACCTGGATTCAACTAAGCAAATAAGTACTAGCCTCCTATTGGATAATTACTGCATGGGCGATTATCTTTCAGCTGGCAACAAGTTATTTAACCCCAACTGGTGCAATGACTTGCTTCTCATTTCCTAAACAACCATGTCGAAAGACACATCTCGTGGTCATGGAAAAGGTGTTAGTCTGTGTGAAAAGGGTCAAATCATTTGCATGCATCAAGCAGAGAAAACATCTAAAGAGATTGCAGAAACTAGTAAAATTTTGTTAAGAACTGTCCAACGCATTATTAAAAACTGGAAGGATAGTGGGGACCCATCATCTTCAAGGAAGAAATGTTGCCGGAAGAAAAATCCTGAAGGATCGTAATCGGCGATCACTTAAACGTGTGGTGAGATCAAATCGAAGAAAAACAACAGTAGAACTTAGGGCTATGTTTAATACTGAAAGTAAGAGCATTTCCATACGCAGAATGTGAAGGGAACTCAAGGGATTGGGACTGAACAGCTGTGTAGCCGTAAGAAAACCTCTAATCAGTGAGGCTAACTGGAAAAAAAGGCTTCAATTTGCTAGGGAGCATAAAGATTGGACTGTGGAGCAATGGAAGAAGGTAATGTGGTCTGATGAGTCCAGATTTACCCTGTTCCATATAGTGATGGGCCAATCAGGGTAAGAAGAGAGGCAGGTGAAGTGACGCACCCACCATGCCTACTGTACAAGCCTGTGTTATGATCTGGGGTTGCTGCGGTTGATCAGGTCTAGGTTCAGCAACAGTATGTGCTCAAAGAATGAGGTCAACTGACTACCTGAATATACTGAATGACCAGGTTATTCCATCAATGGACTTTTTATTCCCTGATGGCACAGGCATATTCCAAGATGACAATGCCAGGATTCATTGGGCTTAAATTCTGAAGTTCAGGGAGCATGACTCATGATTTTCACACATGGATTGGCCACCACAGAGTCCAGACCTCAACCCCATTGAGAATCTTTGGGATGTGCTAGAGAGCAGCCAGACTCTACCATCATCAATGCAAGATCTTGGTGAAAAATTAATGCAACAGTGGATGGAAATAAATCTTTTGACATCGCAGAAGCTTATCGAAACAATGCCACAGCGGTCCAACAAAGTATTAGAGTGAGTGACCTTTTTTTTTTGGCCAGGCAGTGTATTTGCCTGTTACAATGATCCAGTTTAGATAAATGAATGAAAACCTGTTGCAGGATCACAGACGCTTTCCGCCCTGTTTGGGCTGAGCTTTAGCTGTTTGCAGAAGAATAGCTGGATTTTCACTCGTTAGACGCACAGAGCTGCTTGACATGCAGGTTTATGTTTTTATTGAGACAAAATGTGGAAAAAGGTCAAAGATGTATTATTAATGGAAAACTCTTATTTTGTCATTTGCTTCTCAGTCAACCGAAAACAGGAGAACTACAAAGGGGCAAAAATGAGGACATTCTTTGGAAAGTCCAAACAGCCTAATCTACTCCTCAAATAAAATCACCTTCTCTGTGCTTGTAAAAGGTCAACAACACTCGTTACCGAAAAACCTTTTTTTTTCTTTTATACAGGCATTTTGTATGAATTGTAATGAAAAAGTGAACTGGTCCAGCCTTTCCTTTTGTGCTATACAGTCAGTTCTGCCTGAAAGAAAGGCACGGATCCGCTCCTCTTGTCAAAGAGATGTCTGTGCTTAGAGAATGTAAAAAAAAAATAAAAATAATCAGCAAAAACTTGTACATAATGCAAAAAATATTACAAAAGATGCAGCAAGCAGAAAAGGTTGTGGTATATGAAAAGTCCTACATGGACACTTGTCCAGTTTTTATGGCACAAAAGTGAATCTTCAATGTTTCCATGCGGCTGCTTTGTTCTTGGCCCCATTTTTCCATGAATTATTAAAAAAAAAAAGGTTTTCAAGACCTGTAAACATTGCTGCCTTTTATCTGTGAGCGTCTTAAGAGCAGCTGGTGCAATCTTGGTATGTAGCATCGTATGACTTAATGTAAATATGACTTATTAAATGTCTGTGCTTCTTTTTTTAATTTGTCTTTAGGTCTTGGCTTGCTACAGGATACCTTCAAGATGTTTTACTTGTAATAAATCTATGTTCACAGTGTATATATGTTTATTTTTTTCTTGCGAGTTGGGAAAATTCTTGAATTTTCTGTTATTTTTGGACCTGTTGTGTGTTAAATGATGTGATGTCTCTTATACAGTAGTGACAGACAGCAGGGGGTTGTAGACCTTCTTCCCGTCTGCAGACCTGCTCCCATGTGCCAGCAGCTCCTGGATGGTGATCCAGTTGTCCAGGATTCTCCGACTGCGCTTCTTCATGCTCCTGCGGTGGCAGAGCTCCAGGATTGAGGCCGGCTCTTGCGGGTGTGTCACCCCCTGTTCACCTCCTCCTCCTCCACTGCCCTGCTCCCTCTCTCGCTCCCTCAGGCAGTCGAGGCGGCTCTGCATCATGAACTCTCTCCTCCGCCGCTGTTCTCGGGCCTTCAGAAGCTGCTGCTTCCTCTCCTCTTTGCTCCAATAGCGGCCCATCTTCATTTCGCTCACAGCGTCGTCGTCTGTCGTCATTCCGCTGCGCTCCTCTCGGATCTTCATGGCGCGGGCCTTCAGGAGGCGATCCCTCACGGGTCGTTTGGCCACGTAGCGAGAGCCGTCGCTGCGGATCTTCACCTTCCACTCCATTCGGGGGGAAGCGGGTAGCAGTGGAGGGGGCAACGCTGAGGACACCCCCCCTGGGATCTGGGGAGCATCTTTACATGTGCTGCCCAAACTCATTGGACTTTCATCACCTCCTATCTCTAGTGTTTCCTCTTTTGGGGGATTCCTGGGTCCACCCAGGTGCTCAGATGCTGAGGGGGTCCTCAGCTGCATGCAGCTCAGGTAGCGCTGGGGGGGCTTTGAGTCTGTCTGACGGCGGGACAGATAAGGGCTGTTTTCTGCACTGCGTCCACCAGCTCTCTCAGAGGTCCCGTTGGTTTTGGGGTTACGTCTCACACCTCCATCAGAACCCCTCCTGCTTCCTGCCTCCCGGGACAGAGACCTAACCTTTGCCCCCAGGCTGGACGTCTTTGCGTCTGTTCCTCTCCTGTGGGTCTGTGGAGAATACCGTTGGTTTAAGTTTGCCTGCATCCCGTCCCATCTCTCTTTTTGCCTGGTTGAATGCGTCAGAGGAGACTCCCCTCCCTCCAGACTCTGAGTGGAGAGTGAAGGGTACTGTTCACTGACCAGAGGTGTGCTCCTGCAGCTTTCTCCTCCGGTGTTGTAGGCACTGGTGCTGTCCTTATCCGAGCGTTCCCTCTCTGGAAGCTCGTTGATGTCTGACAAGGCCTGGTGACAGGACTCCTCACTCACCAAAGAGCCATTCGTTTCCAGACGCCCAGCTCCCAGTCCAGCCGCTTGGCTTGCCCCATTTTTGTCTTCATGAGGCCAAACCTTCATGCAGCGTTCCCGCAGCTGCTGCATCTTTTGCGCTCTCAAGATGTTACGACACTTGAACTCCAGATGGCGGAGTTCCTCTTCTATGAGGGCCATCTCATGCTGTGTCAGACTTTCATTCCTATTCTCATCTAGTGGGACATGCCCTTCCTCTTGAACCACCTCCTGAGCATTACTGTTCTTCTCATAGAAACATTTGATCTCCAGGAGCTCTTTGTACCTCTCGCATTCTTCTTCAGTAAGCCCAGGCATCATCATCCTCATCGGATCGGCCACATAGGTCCTCTCCAACCGTTCCACCAGTTCCATCCCTCCGCCGTTTAAACTGTCCAGTCCTAAGAGAGAGTCTGTGCTGAACTGGAGCTCTTGGGAGTGCAGTAAAGGTGGGGTGTCCCCTCTGCTGGACATGAACCTTCGCATGCTGCCAGGCGTGTTGGTTGTGTTAGTGTTGGAGGCACTGGTGTGGTCATCACCCAGGAGGTCGTGTTCCGACGACTCCTCGTAGCGTGTGCTTTCGTCCGTACGGCCAACGCCGCTGTCCAACTCCTGGCTGTTACTCAGAACTGTCTGCAGCAAATCAGGAGAATCCCTGCTCAACAAGTGAGAGTGGCTGTGAGTGGAGAGCACACCTCCGATCGCAGCGCCGATCTGTCCACCACCTTGAGCAGAAGGACTCCTCCTCAGTCTGGGACTGCTGCTCAGACCAACATTGTTGTCCAGAGGCTCCAGTTCCAGCTCATCTGCATCCAGCTGGTTTTCATTCTTGCACGTTGATCATATTACAGGGGAGAGGTTTAATGTTGAGGAAGAAAACAAAGGGAAAACAGGTTAGTAACACATCTAGATTAAAATTAAACGATTTTCTTATCACCTGTCTGCCTGTATTTAATGATTAAAGGAATAGTACACCCAAAACATGATTAGCCTTCATTTTCTACTCACCCCCATGCTGAACAACACTCTGGAGTACTTTTTTGATATCTCAAATGCATCTGGAGATCTGGGAGGCTTCTTGCTGTCTGCTGACATTCAAATAATGGAGGTCTATGGCGCCAGAGGCAGAAAGGTCCATAAAAGTCCACAAAAAACGTGTCAATATTCCTCCATACTGCTCGTCCAATGTATTCCAAGTGTCCTGAGTGGGTAGCATCCAGAATTTACTCGAAACGAAGTCATTTAGAATGTTTTTAGAGCATAAACAGTAGTGTATAGGATTTCCTGAAAGCGCGCGCCTGTGCGTTCATGACGCTACGGAAACCGCGGCAGACCAAACCAGATGAAAGTGCGCATTCAGCTCGGCAAAGATCTCATGCTCTTCCTCAACACTGAAGTCCTCAGACATTTTTCTTTCTGCACAGGTAAACAGCACATTTCTTCTTCTACGCTTGCATTATTGGCAGAGCAGACGCTGAATGCGCACTTTCATCTGGTTTGGTCTGCCGGCTTCCGTAGCGTTGTGAACGCGCAGGTGCGCGCTTTCAGGAAATCCTATACACAACTGTTTATGCTCTAAAAACATTCTAAATGACTTCGTTTCGAGTAAATTCTGGATGCTACCCACTCAGGACACTTGGAATACATTGGACGAGCAGTATGGAGGAATATTGACACGCTTTTTGTGGACTTTTATGGACCTTTCTGCCTCGGGCGCCATAGACCTCCATTATTTGAATGTCAGCAGACAGCAAGAAGCCTCCCAGATCTCCAGATGCATTTGAGATATCAAAAAAGTACTCCAGAGTGTTGTTCAGCATGGGGGTGAGTAGAAAATGAAGGCTAATCATGTTTTGGGTGTACTATTCCTTTAATGGTCAAATTTGTGGACTTTTAGAAAAATGCTGGCAGTGTTCTTGTTGAACACAGATCAACCTGCAGCCCTAAACTGAGAGGAAAACCAAATTAACAGTATTGGCGTCATGCAGATCATTCTGTGACCCCACTTCACAGGAGGGAAATGTTGATATGAATGAGGTAAAAGGTACGTAAATTGTAATGACATACTGTGTTTTGCACAAAGGACTTAAGTGACATCTCATCCTTTATCCCAAGGGTTCAAATAGACTCCATTTAGTAATAAAATACATTATATTTTGTCATTCAAATCCAATATTAAAGAAGTTTCTAATTTTTCCTTTAACCTTCAGAATACTAAATAAAAGAAATATTTTCTTAAAGAGATGCTTAAAAACCAGTTCATGCATTTTTTATTTCAAGGCTGGAGTGTTGTAAACTTTTGCTCTGTGAAAGACTTAAAAAATCTATTTAAAAGTCTTGAGCTGATCCAAAATGATACAGAAAGAGTACTGATTAAAATGTAATCCATTTTAAATCTTGAAAAAATCCTCCTCAAACATATAAAGGACTTAATAATCAAGCTCCATTATATAGTAGAGAACTGATGTTCCTTTTGTTCCTAACTGAGTAAATCGCTCCCAGAATGCAGGTTACCGTAACTGTAAAATAAAATAGAATAAAAGGCAAATCTTTTAGTTCAGGCTCCTCTACTCAGGGGCCGATTTAGGAAATTTGGGTCCCTCTGAATTTAGAAGACAACACATAAAACAAACACATTTTACAGATACAGATATTTTAATAGAATAGACATACATTATTTGTTCTAGGTTTTGTCCCTTTTCTTCTTGTTTTCCTCTCTATGTTTTGTATTCAGCTGACTTTTCATGCTGTCTCAAAAGGAATGAAAGATTTTTTCCAAGCATTAAGCTCACTTAGCCGATTGCTCCTTCCTGTGTTTCCAAAAAGGCGACGACAAAAGTAAAAAACCCAGTCCCTCTTTTCACTGTAGACAAGCCATGATCTGCTTATCTGTTCTCCATTTTTCATTTTGAGCAGACAACCTGAAAAGATAGAGGAGAGCAGGAGGCGGGGTTACCAATCTACTTGCTCTGGAGAGCAGAGTTTGGTGCTTTTAGATGTTGTCGCTAAAGTCTCCAGTTGCAGAAAAAAGTCGCTAGATTTGGTGCTAGAGGGTTCTAAAAAGTCGCTAAATATAGCGACAAAATGCTAAGTTAGCAAGTGCGGGCTGAAACACACTAACTATTAGAAGCGTTCTGATGGCATTTTAGCAAAAGGACTTTTTCTTAAAAGACATAATTAATATGGATAGATAAGGAATAGTTGTATTAAACCTTCATGTAAGCTGAGTTTTATGGGGCCCCCAGGTACATGGGGCCCAAGGCAACTGCCTAGTATTGCCTAATGGTAACACACCCCCCCACCCCGCCGCCTCTCCTGTGGAACCAACAATCAGTTTTAATTTGTGAGGCAGACAGACTGTCTACTTTTAAGGCTTGACAAATGTAAAAAAAAAAAAAATCAGAAAACTCACCTGTACTGATTTACAAAGGAAACAGGTAGAAAGTATGTATTTTACCTGGAATCTTTCTGAAGATTCAATCAAATTCACATTTTCTGTGTGTTTTGAATTGGCACAGTGCAAAAAAAACTGAACTGAAGTTGAAAGTAAAAATACTAAACATAAGAATCAGGAGCACAACTTTCACGGAAAAAATGTTATAGTTGATGGTGAACTGGAGATGCACTAAAATATGTTCAGAGCTGATTTGTAAAGGATTCATATTAAAACAGGAAGAGACCTGCAACGTAAGGACATCTCCCCAAATGTACTGTCAGGACATAACTGAACCCTTTAAGCATCATTGTTGGATAGCTCTAGTTTTAGTTAACTATTTAACTGACATCAGGCATTAGTAAGCTCTCATTGTTAAATGAATGGCAGTGCTAAGAGGACAGAAAAAGTGATGATTGTCGCTATAGAGCTCCTAACAGTAGCTGCTGGTGTATGAGTCTGCAGCGTCTCATAAACCTGCAGACTAAAACTCCTCTCTGACACCAGATGGCGCCAATGGTCTGAGAAACTATCATTGTTTTATGATTTTGATATTCCAGTTTCCTCTGAGTGATTTGCCTGATGAACTGACTAAATATAAAAACCATTTCAGCAAAGCAACTAATTCTTTTGTATGGACACATTCAATGTTAGAACAAGAAAATCTTATTATTTTCTCTACATTTTTAAATATTTCCATTTAATTCACAAGCTGATGTAATAAATTGGAAATACTAAAGTATCTTGCCCCCCCCACCTCATTTCTGTACATCCTGTCTAATTGGTTGGATTTCAATGTGAACTGTATGCAGACATCTAGACGTGCTGTATTGATCCTCTCCCGTCTTCATTCCTGTGCTTTAACAAAGCCCTTCATTTCTTTATCTTCCACACCTACAGATCAAGCTTTAATCTCTTCTTCTGTGTCTCACTCTGATGATTCTCCGTCCGTCCTTCTTCCCTGTTGAATCTTAATGTGGGACCATGCCCCGCCAGTATAAACCTTGTAAACCCTTTACCTGTCTTCATGTATTCAAACGCAAGGACGCATTGGAAGAGAGCAGAGGTTATTTACGTTTGTATCGTCAATGTTTGACCCACAGCTTTTAATGAGCGACTTTTAAATCTGCCCTGAAGCTCAGAGAGAATACAAATGTTTCCCATAAACACTGCATGCCTCTCTAATTATATTCAACAGCAAGCCTGTATGTAACTTAATGGAGGGGATTTACTATTGCAGGCTCTTGTTTTGGTTAAAGGGGACTTTGTGATTTCCAGACTGGTTAAATTCACTATTTGTCCTTGTCTCTGTTTTAACACTCTTGTCTCGACAAGTTTGCAGAATATCTAGCCTCGAGGATAAAACACTGTTTTAGAATTAGAATGTAATTTAGCATCTTGTTGCATAAAAAAAAAGTAGATCAATATTGAGAATAGAGTCTATCAGCACTTTTCCTTTACAGGGTGAATACTTAATTCCCTTACCTCTATCTCTGGCCTTGCAAGAAGCAGGGAGACATTAGTGCTGTCCTCTCTGGTGAGAATAGCTACTGCTGCTTCTCTGTTCTGGATTTCCACTCCATTTATCTGAAAAAAGGACATGATGCCAGATTATGTAAGCCTCTTTGAACCAAAGGAAAATTCAATTAAATTGAACAACTGATTCTCAGTATTTCAAAAAATATATACTGATGTTCCAAGCGAGGCTAGTAATCATACTCTTGAACTTTTTCACATATTTTCATATTACAACTGGAAAACTTTTATTGAGCTTTCTTGTTATAAACAACACAATTTAGTGTAAATTTGTGAGGTTAAAATAAGACATAATAGGGTTTTAATTTTGCAAATATAAAACTGTGAATTTGGCTATATTTCTATGCAGAACTATTTTCTCTGATTACCCTAAAAAAAGTAGTGCAGCAGTCATAAATCAACTACCATGTGAATCTTTCATGGTGTCAATACAAATATCTGGATGGACTTGATGGACTGTTTTTCAATCAATTATTCAAAAGTGGAAAAACAAGGCTCTTTGTCACAGAGGTCACTGACATCACACTGAACACACCAATCCAATAGTGAAACACAGAGTTGTTTCATGCAGTTTCATGCTGTGGAAATGCTTGTTTTTATTGGAGCAAAAAGGATAGTAATAACTGAGGGAGCTAAATGCTTTGTAGTTCAGGAAGAAAAGACACAAGACTGACCCAGAGGTTCAACTTCCTATTACACCAACAGCCAACCTATTATATTGTCAAGACCAGCGGTGAGCAACCTATGGCTGCAGAGTCGCAAGTCCCTCAACATTTGCTGTTCATCTCTTTAGGTAAAAACGACGAAAAGCAAGCAAATTTTTTAAGCAGGTATATTAACAAATGCATGTTTTGCATTTTGCATTTCCAAAAATAATAGCTAAGTTGAAAGTTGAAGTCAAACATTGTTTTTCTTTTTTAATTCACAAATTAAATGAACTCCAACAATAATAACATTATATGGAATTATTTCACCACAACTTTTTATATATATATATATATATATATATATATATATATATATATATATATATATATATATATATATATATAT